GATTTATCTCTTGGCTTTCTATTCTGTTCCATTGATCTATATTTCTGTCTTTGTGCCAGTACCAAACTGTCTTGATGACTGTGGCTTTGTAGTATAGTCTGAAGTCAGGCAGGTTGATTCCTCCCGTTCCATTCTTCTTTCTCAAGGTTACTTTGGCTACTCGAGGTTTTTTGTATTTCCATACAAATTGTGAAATTATTTGTCATAGTTCTGTGAAAAATACCGTTGGTAGTTTGATAGGGATTGCATTGAATCTATAGATTGCTTTGGGTAGTATAGCCATTTTGACAATATTGATTCGTCCAATCCATGAACACGGTATATTTCTCCATTTTTTTGTGTCCTCTTTGATTTTTAAAAGCTTTTGCACAACAAAGGAAACTATAAGGAAGGTGAAAAGACAGCCCTCAGATTGGGAGAAAATAATAGCAAACGAAGCAACAGACAAAGGATTAATCTCAAAAATATACAAGCAACTCCTCCAGCTCAACTCCAGAAAAATAAATGACCCAATCAAAAAATGGGCCAAAGAACTAAACAGACATTTCTCCAAGGAAGACATACAGATGGCACAAAAACACATGAAAAGATGCTCAACATCACTCATTATCAGAGAAATGCAAATCAAAACCACAATGAGGTACCATTACACGCCAGTCAGCATGGCTGCTATCCAAAAGTCTACAAGCAATAAATGTTGGAGAGGGTGTGGAGAAAAGGGAACCCTCTTACACTGTTGGTGGGAATGCAAATTAGTACAGCCACTATGGAAAACAGTGTGGAGATTTCTTAAAAAGCTGGAAATAGAACTGCCATATGACCCAGCAATCCCACTTCTGGGCATACACACCGAGGAAACCAGATCTGAAAGAGACACGTGCACCCCAATGTTCATCGCAGCACTGTTTATAATAGCCAGGACATGGAAGCAACCTAGATGCCCATCAGCAGACGAATGGATGAGGAAGCTGTGGTACATATCCACCATGGAATATTACTCAGCCATTAAAAAGAATTCATTTGAATCAGTTCTAATGAGATGGATGAAACTGGAGCCCATTATACAGAGTGAAGTAAGCCAGAAAGATAAAGACCATTACAGTATACTAACACATATATATGGTATTTAGAAAGATGGTAACGATAACCCTATATGCAAAACAGAAAAAGAGACTCAGATGTATAGAACAGACTTGTGGACTCTGTGGGAGGAGGCGAGGGTGGGATGTTTCAAGAGAACAGCATCGAAACATGTATATTATCTAGGGTGAAACGGATCGCCAGCCCAGGTTGGGTGCATGAGACAAGTGCTCGGACTTGGTGCACTGGGAAGACCCAGAGGGATAGGGCAGAGAGGGAGGTGGGAGGGGGGACCGGGATGGGGAATACATGTAAATCCATGGCTAATTCATTTCAATGTATGACAAAAACCACTGCAATGATGTAAAGTAATTAGCCTCCAACTAATAAAAATAAATGAAAAAAAAAAACTGCAACTGTTTCACTTAGAATTTTAAAAACTTTACTAGTGTTCTGTCTCTATGGGCACACTTCTTTTAACCTCCGGTTAGGTTCTTTTTCAGACACACACTGGGTCTTTGCTGCTGGCTCAGCTTTTCTCTACTTGAGGTTTGAGAGCTTCTCAGTTTGGTGGCTCACTTGTTGTGGCTTGCAAACTCTAGAGCGCAGGCTCAGTAGTTGTGGTTCGTGGGTTTAGTTGCCCCTTGGCACATGTGATCTTCCTGGATCAGGGGTTCAATGTGTGTTCCCTGCATTGGCAGGTGGCTTCTACACCACTGGAAACCTAGGGAAATCTCTCTGCTCAGTTTTCTTTTCTTTTTTAATTCTAATTTTCATTTTAAAGGCTGGCTTCCCAGGGGTCAGACCTAAGTGAGCATAGCTTCATTGTTTCTAGGGTATTAGTAGTGCTCCTCCACTCTTCCCCAGTAGCATATTGGACACCCTCCCAAACTGGAGGGGGTGTTGTCTTAGCTTGCAATGCCATATATTTTAGCCTTTTTATACAGTTCTTGGAGTTCTCATGACAAGAATAATGGAGTGGTTTCCCACTCCTTCCTCCGGTGGATCACATTCTGTCAAGACTCTCCACTATGCTCATGTATGCGTGGCCCTACATGAAATGGCTCATAGCTTCACTGAGTTATGCAAGCCCCCTCACCACCAAGGCAGTGATCCAAGAAGGGGGGAATAGCTTATTCTTCATCCACTACTGGTCCGTTCTCTTAGAACAATTCAAGTGATCAGGCTCCAATACCTTGCTCTTGGAGTCCTTCAGATGCATGAAACAGACATTCAAAGTGTGTGCAGTTCACAGTGAGCCCTGGGTGAGCAGGGCTCTGTTCTGTCTTTCCTGTCACTCCTGCAGCATTTCAGGTGCACACAGCCTTCCCCATCCCCGGGAGTCTACCCAAGGTCTCCAGAGTGTTCTAGGACTTCCTCGTCTTTCCCATCTCCCTTAGCCACTTTTCTAGGTCCCTCGTCTGGTCCAGGGGCCTGACCATTGTGGGTATCCACAGTGCCCCTTTTTTCCCATCAGTAGGCACCAATGAATGACTGTTATTTTCAAACACCCCTTGTGAGGGACATTTCTACAGAGCTGCAGATGACTCAGTACCTGCATCAGCAGAAAGGCCACTGCTTTCAGGGCTGGGGCTGGGCAATAGCAGCCCTGAGTCAGACACCAGAGACCTGGTACTCTGTCACGACCATGAGTGCTCTTTCTTGAGTCAGTTCTGTTCATTTTGTTGTATGTGTCTGCGTGCTCACTTGAGAAATCATGTCTGACTCTTTGCCACCTCAAGGACTGTATAGCTCACCAGACTCTTCTGTTCATGGGATTCTTCAGGAAAGATGCCTGGACTGGGTTTCCAATTCCTCTTCCAGGACATCTTCTTGACCCAGGGATCAAAACTGCATCTCTTGCATCTCCTGCTTTGTAGGTGTTTTTTTTTTTTTTTTTTTTTTTGACCAGTTCTTCCCTGGAAGCCCATGTAAGACTGCATTCTGCAAAATCCTTACCACGCCCTGCAACCCCACAGCAGATGAATGCTGCTTTACCCCATAATTGAATGAATTTTAGCTGCTACTTAGGACAGCTCCATTCTATTTGAAGTTGTCTGACTAACAAATCCCATCTCTCTTGTGACATCTGGTGGGCACTTTATACGACCCTATAAAACTATCACCTGTGGTTTATTCCTTCTTTTCGACAAGATCCTTGCAGGATTCATACCATGCATCCTAAACAGAGTTCTCCTACTTTTTTGTCACCAGATTTTCTGAACAGTTGAATTTACATGTTTAGTGTGTTTGCAAATATAGCACGTTTGTTCACTACACATACATGCATTAATCAATTTATTGATCAGTTTAGATTCCAGTAACATCAGCAAGGGCAGAGGAGGTTCATAGGGAAAGCCATGTGTCCAGGATCATGACTTCCTGGGAGAGAAGAAATGAGGATTTCAAGGAAAATATCTTTTATCTTCATCCGGCTGATTGTAACACATTAGTGCTGTGATGCTACACGTGTTCTTTTCCGTTCAATTCTATAAAGAGAAAAAAAGTGTAAAACGTAGTTGAGCTGGTTAGCATTAACATAATGTTGGTCAGAGAATGAGACAGAAAATAGATGCAGTTGAGGTTGAAAGCAGTGGAGAGATTTCCCTGCAAGACCCAATTTGCAGAAGTCCCCTGTGTGTGTGTGTTCATAGGGGGTTGCATAGAACTACCACCCAGTGAAAGTATTTGTGAGCAGTCGTGGATCAGCTGGTATGTTGAGAGTTGCTGAGTTGCATCTCCAGAGCTCCCTGGTGTAGGAGATGACTGTGTAACCTGTTCCTCCTACTTGTCCTATGAATCTTATTTTTCATCATGAAGGTGTTGTGGCTGTAAGATCATTCATTCGCATTGGTATTCACCAGGGATCATCGTATTTCACAGCTCAGGGCTTCACACATTCTCCTCTTTGGTCCTCAAAGCAACTCACTGTGGAAATTAGACCAGTGTGATTGTTTAGATATTTAAATCCTAACACATATGGAATCCCTGACCACATGGCCAGGTGAAGAGCTTTGTTTTCCTATTTCTTTTTAAAATTAATTTTTGTTGAAATGTAGTTGATGTTCAATGTTGTGTTAGTGTCAAGTGTATAGCAACATGAAGGTTTGTGTATTGTTGTTGTTTAGATGCCACGTCCTGTCCCAACTTTTGTGTTCCTATGGACTTTAGCCTGCCAGACTCCTGTGTCCGTGGGATTTCCCAGGCAAGAATACTGGAGTGGGTTGCCAATTCCACCTCCTGGGGAGCTTCCCAACCCAGGGATCAAACCCTGATTTCCTGCACTGGCAGGTGGGTTCATTACCTCTTAGCCACCAGGAAGACCTCAGATAGACATGCATGTATATACAAGCCAGGAGTGTGTATCTCTTAATGCCAAGCTCCCCATATAGCCCACTCCCCATGTTCTCTTTAGGAACCATCAAGTATTTTTGGACTGTGAGCCTGTTTCTATTTTGTAAATAGTCCATTTGTGCCATATTTTTTCATTTCACGTGGAAGTGACATCAAACTTGTCTTTCTCTTTCTTACTTCCCTTAGCATGATCATCTCTAGATCTGCCCATGTTCCTGCAAATGGCATTATTTCATTCTTTTACATAGTTGGGTAATATAGTCCCTTGTGTATATATGCCATGATTAAAGTGGTATGCCCCAGAAAAATGTCTTCACCTTAGAAGAAAATTCAGTGTTCTATATGTCATTATTCTACTCACCCAGAAGAGGCTGTCAGATATTACTGAGGACAGTCGTCTGTGAAAGAGAATGAAAAAGTGGAAAAATAATCATTCACATGCCTCTGTTTCAAAGGATGATTTCATAACAGCCTTTGTAAAAGATGACTATGCAAATAGGAAATCTGAATCGAGTATTCTCATGATGTGGTTTCATTTCGGATCCCTGTTGTCCTCTTAGCTTTACCTGTTTCAGTGAGATCTTCTGTATTTTCAGTTGGAATCCCTCTTTCTTTGTTCAGTTCCTCATACTGCTGAATTTCTTCTTGAGTGACACCATCTCCTTTGGCTGGGTTTAATAACAAAGAGGGCAGAAGAGGTGTGCGTTAGAATCCTTGGTAGCTTATAGAGTCTCCCCAGCTCCTATGTGTAATGTCCAGTCAGTCTCATCAACACCATTGTCCTCTTCCATGCCTTAAAGCCCGCTCACCAGAAAATTTTCTACAGAGATGCCTGAGTGTTCACATCACGTCTTCAGATGTTCAGGGGATAGAGTCCACATAGTTAACATTTTATCTCATTCAAGCTCCACCAAAGCTTCCACAGAAGCTCCACCGACCCCCATGGAGGATATAATATCAGAACTGACAAATAGTTGTGTTACATGCACCTTGCGGTTGGCTGGTTATCAGAAAGATTACATGACTGAACAGGCTGCTTCTGAAGGATTCTATATGATCTGGGGATGATTATAGAGGGTTGGGTTCAGGTTTCAGGGATTCATTTAATGATTGTGGCAAAAAAAGAAAGCATTTTTATTCAGGAGGAATCAGTCATGGCCAGGACCTACGAGTGTCTGAACTCAAAGTTCCTTCCTTGGTTCACTTTGGTGTCCAAACCCAGCGACTCCAATATATGATATTTATCTAGAAGCCCACAGAGCATCCTGGAATATTTCATTGCACCTCCTGGGAGAGTGTATCTAATTTTTTTAAAAATGTCATCTGATATAATCCCCAGTGGATGCATTTCTTCAGTTTTCTAGTGGACAACCTTTCCACAGCCCTGGATCATGGCACATGTAGTCTGAATTCTCCCATATGATCTCAAGTCTACTCTAGTGTGCTTAATAAAATATAAGTTGGCCATGTACTTCTCCTTAAATGTGATAATGATAATATGAACACTGTTCATTTGCTCAGAATAAGCTTCAGTAATGTACCGAGAAGTTGAGTCACTTATGTAGTCTTCACACCATCAGAGTTTTCACCGTAGATTGCTAATGTGCTGTCTGATATAGGAAGCAGTTCGAAATAATTTGCACCCATATCTGTGACAGGAAAAAAGAAATTCAAATCTCAATGCAATTAATTTCTCTTCATTTGTACATGTCATGTTCTTCATATGCTGTCATCAGTCTTCATTGCGATGGTGGTCTCTATTTCCCTGGCATTTCTAGTGGTCTGTGGTTAGAACCTGTTGAAACAGCTAGTGAATTTGGAAAACTTTCTCCACACACCCCTCAGCTTAAGACAGTAAACACTTGCAGTCTTCTAGACCAAACAGTCTGTGAACAATAGCAAAGCTGATGATTGCAACTAGTAGGTGTTGGTCCTCAATCATCTCATATGAGCTCACAAGAGCTAATTGTCAAAGTTTCAGGAGTGTTTTGACCAAATTCATAAGTACAGTCATGATTACAAAGATATTCTTTAAATTTCAGGAAATCATGTGAAAATAATGCTTAATAGATAAACCAAGGTTACCTTCTGGAACAGAGGTAATCAGAGAGGTAGAAATGAAGGTATTGCCAGATGTTAGAGATATATACTCTGAAATGTTTCCTAATTACATCCTGTGTCCAATGTCCACAGATGAAATATAAAAATATGCCTCTGACCAAGATTAGAATGTTTCATTGTATATTTTTCCCTTGAAATCAAATAGGTGCTTTTCATTTTCACATGACAGTATTGGTATTTGAGATTTTTTTTTAAGTTTGAAGCTATAGAGATCGAGGTCTGAGCCAGTGTCCCCTTTGATTTCAAATTAAGTAAAATTAGTGTGAAATTTTTCCTGTCATTTTAACTGTTCTCATACTTATCTGTGAGATTTAATGAATCAGGTTCTACTTCTTCAACATGCTAGAAAATAACTTTTCATGTTGAAAGGATTCTTTTTGTCAAAGAAAATTTGCTCTTGAGAGTTAAATAAGGGATTTCTCAGGTTGCTCGGCAATAAAGAATCCGCTTGGCATTGCTGGAGATGCAGGAGAGTTGGGCTCGATCCCTGGATCAGGAAGATCACCTGGAGCAGGAAATGACAACCCATCCTAGTTGTCTTGCCTGCAGCATCCCAAGTACAGAGTAGCCTGGCGGGCCAGAGTCCATGGGGTCGCAAGAGTCAGACATAGCTGAACATCTAACATGCTTGGGAAGACGCATACATCAGTAGTGCTTGCATACTCACATCCTGCATGATAAACGTCCCCTTTTTTCTGTGCAACTACATTGATTAATGTGCATTTCCCTTGAAACCTGAAAAACAGACGAGATGTTCCTTTGTCATTATCTGTACCCCATAGGTTGAGAGCACCCTTCCATTGATAGAGTTCACACACCCAATATCACACCTTTGACTCACACCGTTCCCTGCACTTTGGAGACTGGACCCCATGTCATAAGTCAGAAGTCTCATTTTTTTCGGTTTAAGCAGGTTGTGCTTACTTGGCATAAAATTTAATGGATAGTTAGGAACAGCGGTCACTGCATTCAAACTGATGGACGTATGCCCTCAGGAGGCCTCCTTCCTCAATTTTCTCCTTGTTATCTGCAGCCGTGAGAATGCTGCGCCAGTCTCCTGTAATCTAAGAAGGAAAGTCTCCATAAACATCATTCAGTGTTTTCACTGGATTCTCACCAATACCCAACTCAATCATTGCCTCTTCATTTACCTCAGAAGAGAAGAAAATTCAATCTTATTAGACAAAGTAGGATTCTACCTCCTGCCTTGCAGAATAACATGACATGAAACAATCATTCATATTTGAACAGAACGCATAGAGTTTGGGTTTCTTAAAATAGCTAAAAGAGGAACATTAAACACCATAGTAGTTCATTCGTCCGTAAGTATATGGTAATAGCTTTTTTCTTTTTTTTCACATAGAGACAAATACATTGAAAAAAAATGCAAAGAGCAGAAATACAGAGGGTTGTATTACGCTCATGCAAATAGGTGGAGCATGGCATATCTATACAATCTGATCATACATAAAAAACAAGACTGTCTCCCTCTCTCACACACACACACTCACAGACCAAGACCTTCCTTCAGATCAGCTGAAGTTGGGTACCTGTGAGGGTTCTAACTCAGTTGGAGGTTCCTGGGCAGCACAGACCAGACCCAGGAGAGTCAGGAACACAGTCTTCATCTTGTGACTCTTGTGGTTCTTCTACAGAAACTGAAGGTGCCCCAGGTGTTGGAGAGGTTGTGAATTTGTCCCTCTTCTTATAGGATGGTTCTCTTGGCAGAATACATAATGATCAAACAGTGGTAAATCACAAGATCTTGGTTACTTAGATGTTATCTTCTGATATCCTGGTTGACTGGTGAGTCGGTTTTATTTATTTATTTATTTTTCTGTAATCTGTGGTTTTTACAAAGAGATTCATTTTAAGGGAAGTTTAGTTAGATATGGACAATTGCCTTCTGATTAAATGACAAATTAGAGAACGTACGAGGTATTTCAAAGACACTGATACTTTTATTCTTTTATTTCTTCAGATTCCAAAATGGGACAAACAGTCCAAGACTCATAGCCCTAAACCCTCATGTTATTTATTAGCATTTGAAGGTCAGTTTAAGCTTATGTCCTAAAACTAAAGACAGTGTAAACTGATTTAAAAGATCAATATGTGGCTTCTTTACCAGGAGTTGATTGTCAAGACATCCCTCAGAGGAGTCTACATTTTTTGTTTTGAAATGGAGATATAGTTGATGGACCAAATTATATAAGTTAGAGGTGTACCATATAGTGATTCATAATTTTTATATATTCCATTCATAGCTATAAAATATAGGCTTTATTCCCTATGCTGTACCAAATATCTTTATACACTGTTTATTTTATACACAGGAGTTTGTACCTCTTATTGCCTTTCTCTTGCCTTACCTCTGGGCCCCTTCCCACACTTCTAACCACTAGTTAAATATCTGGATAGAGGCCTGGTCACTGTTCCCACTGAAGGCTCCTTCTGGGTGTGTATTCTAATCAGTAACCGCCTAATCTTTGGTCACAGAGTATCCACCTGTGTTTTACTGCCAGAGTCTTTCTTACTTTCGGTCCTACATATAGCTATGTGAGTCTCTCTGTGTTAGTTGTAAAACATTGAGTAATGAATGGGATGAAGTTTTTATGCTGTTTTGGGCATACGGATTTCTAATTTCTCCAGCAACTTATCTGTCAGTTCAGGTCAGCTCCGTTCGGTCGCTCAGTCTTGTCCAACTCTTTGCGACCCCTTGGACTGCAGCCCACCAGGCCTCCCTGTCAATCACCAACTCCCAGAGTCTACTCAAACTCATGTCCACAGCTTTGGTGATGCCATCCAACCATCTCATCCTCTGTTGTCCCCTCCCCCTCCTGCCTTCAGTCTTTATCAGCATCAGGGTCTCTTCAAATGAGTCAATTCTTCCCATCAGTTGGCCAAAATTTTGGAGTTTCAGCTTCAGCATCAGTCTTTCCAGTTACTATTCAGGACTAATCTCCTTTAGGATGGACTGGTTGTATCTCCTTGCAGTCCAAGGGACTCTCAAGAGTCTTTTCCAACAAAACAGTTCAAAAGCATCCATTCTTTAGCATTTGGCTTTCTTTATAGTCCAACTCTTATATCCATTCATGACTACTGGAAAAACCCTAGCCTTGACTAGATGGAACTTGTTGGCAAAGTAATGTCTCTGCTTCTTAATTAGCTGTCTAGGTTGCTCAAAACTTTCCTTCCAAGGAGCAAGCATGTTTTAGTTTCATCACTGAGTCATCATCTGCAGTGATTTTGAACCCCTCCAAAAATAAAGTCTCTCACTGTTTCCATTGTTTCCCCATCTATTTCCCATGAAGTGAAGGGACCAGATGCCATGATCTTAGTCTTCTGAATGTTGAGCTTTAAGCCAACTTTTTCATGCTCCTCTTTCACTTCCATCAAGAGGCTCTTTAGTTCCTTTTCACTTTCTGCCATAAGGGTGGTGTCATCTGTATATCTGAGGTTACTGATATTTCTCCCGGCAACCTTGATTCCAGCTTGTGATTCATCCAGCCCAGCGTTTCTCATTATGTACTCTGCATATAAGTTAAAT